TGAGCCCCAGTCTCCCTGGCACTTGTTAATCATTTTACATGGGTGTCTCATGGAATTCTCCTAACAATATAGAGCTCGTCCTATTACTATCCTTATTTGGCTGATGAACAGATCAGTGACTAAGCTGCCCAGAGTTAACTGGCTAGCATGTGGCACAGCTGTGGTCCAGTCAGACGCCAGAGTCCATGTCTCACCCCCAGGAGGGAAGATGAAGGCCTGTAAGTCAGATAACAGCAATTGGGATGGAGGGAATATTGAGGAGGTGGCCTGGACAGGAGCTCACTGCTGGCTGAGGCGAGGGGATGGTTAGTTAGGGGATTTCAGAAGGATGCCCAGGTTGCTGGCCTGAGTAAGTGAGGACATGTTGGTCCTTTTCCCTACCACAGGATCCACAGAAAGAACAGAGGGCCAAGCTCACGATGGGGAGTTCATGAGCTCCATCACAAACACGTAGAGTCCCTAGGGGTCTGTGGGCACAAGCCCTGGGATGCGTAGAATCTACAGGTATGGAGTTTAAGAGAGAATGTGGTACTACTGGTACGGGATTCATCCACATGCAGATCAGTGACTGTCAACCATTTTTCTACCCCTGCACATTTGAGGAACATAGTGCCTTCTGGTGACCACAGCTCACTCCAGCGGTGAATTTAACGGTGGCCTTGTCTTCCCAGTGTATTCGTATTGGGTGGACAGGAGGTTCTCAGAATACTGCAGGAGGAACCAGAGGCATGTGTAAGTCTGAAAAAAGCCACAGCTTTGAAAATCCTCACTGTGGCTGCAACCTGAATTAAGTGACATGAATGAGGTCATCAAGCAAGAGTAGACTAAAGGGTAACAAGAAGGGGGTCCTCAGAACCCAGGGAAGAGCAAGGGACAAAGAGTCTGAAGGAGCCTGCAGCATGGTGCCCACAGTGGTAAGAAGAGGAGCCAGAGGAGGAGAGTACAGGGAAGGCAGGGAATGGGGGCAGGTCACACCTGAGAGCCGCAAGTGTTTCCACCTGGCCCACCTCCCCTTTACCTTTTTGCCTGGCCCCTGGTGGCCTTGGTGTCTGCAACAATTAGAGGGGCAAACGGTCCACCTAAGTCTTGACAGAAAAACAGGAATTTGCCAAGGGGACAAGAGAAAGGGCCCCCAAAGTGCGCAGGTGTGGAAAGGGTGTTACTTGGTGAGTGTTGGGGGAGAAGTGCGCAAGAACTGCATGGATGAAGCAGGTAAGAGAGAGGCTGGGTCCAGACTGGGAAAGGTCTCCTCTGCCATGGTCTTGGCAAGGGAACGGACTTGTCTTTTAAGAAGCTCACACAGCAGCAATGAGGAGGACTGATTGGAAGTGGGAGAGCCAAGTGACAGGGCAAGTGTTATGAAACTGGCAAGACAGGCAAGACAGGAGGAGGGCCCAGGTCCCAGTGGCAGGGCAGGACAGATATGAATGGGGTTTGGGAGTGGGCTGTGAGGGTGGAGAGGGATGTGGTCACAGCATATGATTACAGTACCACTACCAACATTTACTGCACACTTCCTGTGCCCACTCTGCAATTCATCGAATTCTTCCAACCACCCCTGGAGTAGGCACAACTATCGTCTCCCTACCCCCAAGATTGGCTTAGTCACTTGCACAGAAGTTCTCCCACCTAGCACAGGGCTGAGGCCCCACAGAAGTCCCAGGCGGGATGGTTCTTGAGAGCCCATGTTCTTCCCCACTCCACGACACAGTTGAGCCATTTAGGGAAGATCACAAATATAAGAGTGAGGGATTTAGAAGTGAGGGATTTTAGGAGGGATGGATATTGAGTTCTGTAGGGGTCTAGATTCAAATCATGGGTTGGAGATGTGGGCCTGGACCTAAGGACAAAGGCTGGAGAAATAGACTCTGGGTCACACCACACAGATGAAGCTGAGCTGTGGGACGGCAGGTGAGCACTAATGGGAAATGTAGGGAGGCAGGATGCAGCTTGGGGAAGAACAACATTTACCAAATAAGCAGGAGGAGAGGCCAGGAGACAACCATGAGAGAGCAGTCATGGAAGCAGGAAGGGAACTGGGGAGGACAGAGGAGTTTCATCCCAAGAAGATGGGGATGTGTCCTGCAGTGAGTGGTGTGGGATCCTCCCCCAATCTCCAGAGCCCCGTGGTCAGGTCCCTGCTACCTCGCCAGCCTCCCTGGCCACCTCTCCTGTTCTTGCTCTTGGTCCTCCAGCCACTCTGGCCTTCTGATCCCTCCTCCAAGCTGCCCTGCCCTCCCACCTCACTGCCCCTACTGTCCTCCACACCTGTTCCAGCTCTCTTATACTCACTTCCTGTCACCACCACCTACTAGATCACTTCTGCTCTTCAAAAACTTTTCTTCTTGGGGCCGGCCTGGTGGCGCACTGCTATAGTGCGCCGCTTGGGAAGCGCGGTGGCGCTCCCACCGAGGGTTTGGATCCCACATACAGACCGGCCGCTCACTGGCTGAGCGAGGGGCGGGAGCAATGCCAAGGGTTGCGATCCCGTGGCCGGTCCTGGTCCGGTATGGGCGCGACACTGAGGGTTGCGATCCGTTGCCGGTCACGAAAAAAGACAAAAAGGAAAAAAAAAAAAAAAACTTTTCTTCTTTAACTTTTTACTGAAGTATAATCCACTCATCTTTTAGTATTTAAATGTCAGTGCTTCTAAGTGCTTCACACCTTCATCCATCTCTGCAGGCCTTGGTCAGGCCTCCAATATATGCTTTCACAGCACTCCCCATTTCTCCTTTGTAGCACAGAAAACGGTTGAATAAATCACTTCTTGTACATTAGTTACAGGATATGTCTCTCTCCTTTCTCTTGTAGGTAAGGTACTTTAGGGCAGAAACTGAGTTTGCCTAAATCAGAGGTTAGCAAACTTGTTCTGAAAAGTGCCAGATAGTATATTTTTGGTTTTGTGGGCCACAGGGTCTTAGTCACTACTATTCAACTTGGTCATTGTAGTCCAAAAGCAGCAAAGACAATATGCAAACAAATGGATGTGACTGAGTTTCAATAAAGCTTTATTTACAAAAACAGGAGGTGGGCCAAAGAGCCATAGTTTGCAGACTCCTGGTCTAAATCACCAGCACGCAGTCTAGCACCTGGCACATAGGTGATACCCAATAAATGAATAAAGCTAAAAAGAAAAAAAAAAAAAAAAAAAAAAAAAAGCCATTGGCCTTGGGTGTTAGATGGGAACTGGTACAAAGTGAATGTGGTTTTAGTGGCATGGTGGGGTGGAACCAAGATGACAGAGGAGTAAGCAGCACTTGAGGAAGTGGTAACTGCTCTTTCAGGAGTTCCACGATTGGAGCAGCAGGGTTGGGGAATGGGACTGCTTTAGTGGAACAGGGTAGATTACGAGCATGTTTACTGGCTATGACAAGAAGGTAGGGCTGCATCAGAAAGGGGATAACTGATGAGATGGGGCTCTAGAGCTCAGGGGTGTGTGTAGGACTGGTAATGAAGCAGGAAGCCACCTTCTGAGGCTGAGAAAAAGAAACAAGGAAAGGTAGAAGGAAGGAAATGAGGAGAAAGCCTTGCATTCTTCTTTCTTGTGAAATGTGAGCCAAGACCCCCTGTTGGAGAGAGAGGACTACAGGAGACTCAGGAACCACAGGCATCTGGCAGATTGGGAGCAGCTGGCAAATGGAATAGTGGAAGCCCAGCCACAAGCCTCACCAAGACGTATGACGCTACACCCTTCATTCTTCTCTCTCCTTGTTTAAGAACACTTCTAACCAAGGTGGTATCTAGATATCTTGTGGGTTCCTGGTTTTCGCTTTGACTCACTGTGAAGTGTGTCACTCACTGAATCACCAGCACTACTTGCTGTCACTTCCTATCACTTCACTTTCTCACACAAGTAGTAACAGGCAGGCCCTGAGGAGGGTGAGGTCACATTTTAAACATGTAGACATACCTAGTTCTTTCCTGAAGGATATTGAAAGGCATTTTAATTGCAGAAGTAGTTAGTGATGAATTTCATCCCCATGCCCTCAAATGTGTAGGAAACCCACAGAGTTTAACAAAATAGATATCAATAATATCGAATACATAAACTGACAACAGAGCTTATAATTTCTCAAGGGATAACCTTACAGCAGTTTCCCTAATAGGCTGTAAAATATTGCTCTACTGGGCAGAGAATGATCTGGATAAAGCACAAGGGTATATTTACCCTAATGATGGATAATACAGAATCTTTCTTTAAAAGCAGAAAATCATTTGATTGGGGTTTGACAATAACGACACAGCATAACAGCTATTTAGTTTTACAAGCCTAATGGTGTATTAAAAACTATAAAACACAACATATCGTGTAGAGAAAATATTAGTATTATGAAATTCAAATATCCTGAAGTTTTCTTATAGAGTCAAAAACCTACCAACATTCAACTTCACTAATCCAAAGAAGCAGAGACCCAAGAAAACCCTTACCGTTCAACACTAATGTGTAGAGAAAATATTAGTATTATGAAATTCAAATATCCTGAAGTTTTCTTATAGAGTCAAAAACCTACCAATATTCAACTTCACTAATCCAAAGAAGCAGAGACCCAAGAAAACCCTTACCGTTCAACACTAATTCATTAATTCATTATTACCTCTAGTGTAGGAATGTGTGAGAGGGGTTTGGACCCCATCCTACCACTTTTCAGAAAGTACTAAAACCATCTAGATCTCTTTTAGTTGACATGCCTGAAAAAGTAAGTACCAGGACCTGTTTTCATCTGCCTTCTTTTAAGGTGTAACTGCTATTAATATTTACTCTAGTAATAAGTAAAACTCTAATTCATATTTTCATTTGGAAGTTTTTCACTCCCCACAAGTCTGAAGATAATTTTTGTAAAATACAACAATCCTCACTATATTCTTTCAAGTCCTATGGGAACCAGTGACTCAGAATTCACTGAGTATAAAATGGCAGGGCTATACCTGTAACACACTTTTTATTTGGAGGGACTGTCAAGGAACCTTTAGACGTACATTAAATAAACTTAATCTCTTACCCTATTGTTGGGTTGATGTTCGGATCAAAACTGTCTTCCACAAACCGCCATACAATACTTGATTTACCTACACCTGTGTCCTGAAAGAGAATGAGATGGGTGACTAAGAAAAAGTTTACCTGCTTGCAGACACTGAAAACTACTTTGTGACAAAAGTTCAGGATTCTAGAAAAATCATCCTAGAAGTGTAAACTTTGTAAGTTGAGGGACTGAAAGGATGTTCTCATAAAAATTCAGTGGAGTAATTAGGAGATTTCAAAATATATTATAAGGAAGAAGTTTTGCAGTTTTTAAGAAACATTAAGACCTTCTGAAAGACTCAAAGTTTCTGCCTCTTGTGTAATGTGAGAAACCCATCTGTTTTTTAACATGTATTAGTATTATTATTAGTATTATGTGCCCCTGAATTACTTCTGAGTAATCCCTGATGAATTCCAGCCCCGCCATATTTGGAAGGCAAAAAAAAAAAACTAGTTATTGGAATTCTTTTCAATCTTTAAGGCAGAAATTCAGGAGAGAGAGCATCAACCTCAGAAAGAAGGCTTTGAAATGGCCAAGCTGCCCTTGACAGGACAGGAAGCTGAAACTTCAAACTGGTCTTTGGGGCTTCCAGATCAGAACACCTCCCTTCTCTACAGGAAGGGTTCCTTTGCAGAGAAACTCTGTGAAAACTGTCAGGGGTATCCCACAAGTTCAAAGACACCCAACAGACGGGAAAGGAGGACAACTCTGCTTGTAAAACTAAAGACCTGTTATTGGTTTTACTTTGGAAGACTTGGCCAACTCCCAGCTACTGTCTCGATACGTTGGGAGGAAACTATTTAAGAGCAGCTCTTAACCTAGATACAAAGGACAGGCAGGGAGGGCTCTCTGCACTTGGGGGACGGGAAAAGTCTACGGGCTCCGGGCAGAGGAAGGGGAAGGGTTCCTCCTGCCTCCAGGACTTTCAGGAGGGTGGGCGGGACGGCCCGGGGGCTGGAGGAAGGGTCCGCGGGCCGGGTAGGCGGCGTTCGGGAAAGAGACGAGGGGAAAGGGTGGAGGAGACATGAGGGACCCGGGGTCCCCACCCGCCCGGCCTCCCGGGGCCCTCCCGGCCGGGCCCGACTCCACTCACCCCCAGCAAACACACTTTGAGTTCCCTCAGCGCCATG